ATTTCATGGTCTCTCTCCAGAGAGCTTTCTCACAAAGGAAATAGAATCTGTACTCTGTTTTAAAGTGTACCATCATAGCACAGGAGGAAAGATTTTTATTGCAGATGCATTGTTATTCCCAACAAAAAGTTGGTCTGTTTCAGAGCACTGATGGACTGAACACCTGCACGTTTCAGAGTCAGAACAATCAGTTTGTTCTCAATTATTCCTGACTGGCTTGGAGAGAGTCATTTTCAGCTCTCAACTTGAAAAAGGCGTATTTTCACAGAGGAGTACATCTGGCAGACAAAAGATTTTCTGATGATAACAAATCTCAGAAACCATTATCAATATAATGTTACCCTTCAGCCTCTCAACAGTATTGTGAGTGTTTACAGAGGTCTTGGCAGTGCTTGCATCCCATCTGCATTATTAAGACAGGATGATTGGCCAGAAAAGAAGGTATCTTACCAAGAGATTGGGAACAGATAAACACACTCCCTCTTGTGTGTGTTTTCTTATCTCATATAAAAAAAAGGTTCATTTTAACACCAGCTCGGATGAATTTATCAAAACAATAGTGGACTACAGGACGGTAAGACAGAGCTGCTGGAAGGATTCCAGATCAGGGATACTTTGATCATTTGTTTCCACTGATCCCTTCATCAGGACGATTTCTTGTCTCTGTCTCATGTAGTTGGAAGCCTGGTGCCACATGCAAGCTCGTTCTTTAATTTATTAGCCCTTTATTCTGGATGGTTTGCATTCCAGCGAAGTCTAAAAATACTGGTTTAAATATCCAGAAAACCTGGCTGATTTTGTGTCTGATAGAAAAATACAGAGTTAGAAACTTTTATAAAATCTGTATCTCTTTTATCCCTTTGGAAACAAATTCTGAATTTATTATTAGTGGGATGAGTGTTCCCAGTGTGTTAATTTATGGTGGGTGAGCTTCACAGGCATTGTTGATTCAATTTAGCATTGTGGAGTTTTAACTTATGTAAAATGTATTTGAATATTTGTTATAGTTTCTTCCTACTAGAGTTATTGGGCAGTATGACAGCGATGAACTCCATAAATAAGGGAAAGAGTAGGCTGCGTAATTACACATGCTAGCAAGCAGGGATTGGAAACTGTATATACATCATCATGTTACGATCTTCTTGAAATGCTTACCAGTTATTTAAAACATGCTGACGATCTTAACAGAAACTCTCCAGAGAAGAGAGGTAAAAGAACTAACCTGATATATTTAGTTTGCCAGTTGTGGGAGCTACTAATTTGTGGATTCATTGCAAACAGAAATATCAAAGATTCTTGGTTTTATGGCTGGGCAGATCTCTAAGGGGTGGTTTTCTGAGTCAGTGGTCAAGTTAACCGATACCTGCATTCCTATAACTGTGCAATTATTGTGGCCAAAGCAGTGGTTCAGCCAGCATCTCCTACACTGACTGTTCTTTGGATTTCCACAGCTGTTTCAGCTGGCTGTAAAGGACAAGTTCAGTAATCTCCTAGATCAGATTTCTTGTCTCTGCAGGACATAACTATTTGACACCTGTCTTCTCATGCTTAGTAGCATGCTTTTTGGATAGATATTTAGTATAAAAATGTCAAATATAGACATCTATAAGAGCACAAAGGAATTTAGAAACAATGCTTATTATGTGAAAATGGAAAAGGTTTTGTGTGTGATTTGAATAATTACATTTGCCACTCTGACAGCTAAATTATTTGACTGTATTCCCTCCAGGTAAAAATTCTTTTTTGTGAACTCAGAAGTCATTAGTGTTTCTAGCCCTTCAACACGCTGTGTTGCACCCTAAGCTTGCAGTGACTCGTGGTTAGATTTATGAAGGAGCTCAAGAGTTCTTTTTCCATAAGAACAGCTTTCCCACCTTTTGCAGATCAAAGTTTAATATTTCAGCTCTAATGTATCAATGTCCTTTCTCTCCCATCCTTTTTCCATTTCACTTTAAAAGTGGAATTACTTTAGTAATGACAGTATCAGCCACTATCAGGGTGAAACAGTTGAGACTTTTCTGTCCCACTTTGTTTCTCTACTGTATTTCATCATGAGGTAGATCTTGATGAAGCTGTACTTGAAACATCTGCCCAAGATAGTTTTAGAATTCCACATTTAATCAGGTTATATGCTAACTTGTATTCCTTCTGAGACACATTCAAATCATGAAGAAGTTATATAGCGCTTCTTAGATACCAGCAACGCCTTGATATTTGAAGGTTGAAGCTTTCATTCCCTAAGTTTTTAGTCCTCTTGATAGACTAAAAAATGTGACTTGCTCTGAATAAGGTTTTTGCTGTGAATTATCTAGCTCTGAACATACTCAGAACTTTTCTTTCCAAAAGAGTTACATGCTGCTTGGGATTCACTTGCAGGGAAACACAAGGACAAGCAGCTGAAGAAAAGAAAGCTTACCAGCTTGTCTCTCCTCTGGATTTCTTTGAGATGCTCTGACCCTCTCTGAATTCTACTTCCTTCCCACCCCTCCCCAACCACCTTCATGCACCTCCCCTGCTCCCCCCCCCCTCCAAAAATAAAACCCCAAACAAACCTCTCCCACTCTCGTCTCTACTCAGAGTACAGAAAGACCAGGAATAATAGTTCTAGCCTTGTTCTTCCACTTTTCGCACTGTGACTGGAGGTAGGGTGCATGTGCAGAATATGGAGCAGCTCTTGTAACTCTGGTGCAGGTGCGTATGGCACATGAGTAACCCTGTGTGTGTACCTGGATGTCACACCTGTCTGACTTACCCAGCCTACAATTCCAAAAGCAGTTACTTGGGAATGATGACTAGTTACTATTTGCACAAATGCAAACAGCACCAGTAAAATCAATGTATGTGTAAGAGGGATTTGAATCTGTTATTTCCAGCTGAATTTCCTGGTTATGTGCCTATCAGTAATTCCTTTTTACTTTCTTTCCTCTAGACTTGAAAAATTCTACTTTAAGTTTCACAAATGCACCCAGGTATTTTGGGGATTCCCATCCTCCAGCCAAGAAAATCTGTTTCTATAACAGTGTTCAGCTCATGAAAATAAAAACCCTTCTTACTATCACTTAATATTTTTGTACACTCATATTTCTGTTACTCTAGTTTTAAATAAACACCACCAAATGAAATGCAAAATCGGCTACATATTAACTTTGTATATTTGTTGTGTATGATACTTTGTATAATATTTGTTTCTCTGGACACTTCACAATTGCAAAGGTTTCTGTTATCCTTAAGCTGAAACTTGGCAATAGGTAATAGGATAAAGGCTGTGACAGGTAGTAGGTTAAAAGTGAGAAACGTTTTCACTAATAATTTTCAGTACTGACAGAGATAAGTTATTTCACAAGCCTCTGTTAAATAAAGCTGTTTTAATGTAAAACAACTACTTTATGTGCAGTCCTTGATGTTTTTGGCTTATTTCATAGCCTTCATCCACAGAGGAAGAATCTTGAATCAAGCTTCAGAAATGTCATTGAAGTGAAGCGGAAATCTGCTAATACATTATTGCAGTCGTAATAACTGCAGAGATAACTCACCTGTTATATGGGGCGTAGACATAACAGTTCTGGACATTTTCTGTCCATTTGTTTTTCAGAGCCACCAGTAAGAACTTGCACATATGTATCTATTATAACTTTTAGTCTTTCTCAGAAGTTTATTTCTGTGGGTCTTCAAGTAATGCACTTTAAAGCAGCATTAGGTTTCCTTCACACTTCTCTTCTACAGCAGGGTATGAGTAGATTTTATCTGTGAAGTGCCATTATATTAATAAGTATAACTGCTTCAAATTTATGACTGAGTAATATGATTATTCAAGTTGCTATAATCATTCTGAGGTGCTTTGTAATTTAGGTATTTTTACAACTGTAGGAGTCTAGAGTTTTTTTTGTCTATAGGATACCTATTTGTATTCAGAAATAAAATTAAAGATAAGACTGTATTTTGCTCAAATTCTGACTTTTGCATGGCTTTAAAAGCTCTAGATGTCGAAATTGTTCCTTCCACCCTTCAAGATTTGAAGCACTACACATAGTTATTCTTGCCATAAAATAAAGATACATTCAAAACCTGACACTGTGAAGGATGGGCAATACATAGTTATAGTATTTTGAAACTGTGTATGTTCTTTCATAGAATACCTTGCAGCTGGAGAGATATACTGAAGAAAATATTTTTTTTTCAGTGCTTTCTTGAGTGAACAATCTATCAAAACCCTGGTAGGAAAAGGAAGTATCTTTAAAAGTTTTCAGTAAGTTCTTAGCTGTATTAAATCAGTGGTATTAAAAGTATGGATTTATGCACTCTGGTACCCAAACAAAGTAACCTCTAATGGGATTGTTTCACTGTGGTGACAGAATTGCAAATCATTATCAACAGTGCAAAATACCAAGTATGAGACATTTTATGTTTTTCTTTGCTAACAAAAGTTCCTGAGGACCTAAGATTTTTAGATCTTGTCACACTTGGAGGCAGAATCTCACGTAACCTGGAAAATGGCAAGATAAAAAAGGAGGAAATAGACCTGTAAAGAACAAAGCTCTCTGGTATTTTCAGAGAGTGGCTTGCAATCTCTTGAAAAGAAACTGAGTTAATGACTGACCTTGGGGAAGGGGTGAAAATAATGAAGTGTCATTAATTTTTCATAATTGCCAACACTAAAGGTGTTAGCTGGGAGCAATATATTGTTTTGACTTGAAAACACACTTCAAAAACGATTTTGGATATTATACCATAACAGGCAAGTAAAAAAAATCAGTGTGCTTGCATATGAATCTATAAATCTTGTCTAGTGCACTAAGAGATTAAGTCAAACTGTGATGCGGGGGTTGGTTTGTTTGGTTTTAATGAGCATGGTTTATAAGTTGTTAATGGAAGAAATTCTGTTCAGCAAGTTTTAAGTGTTATGATAAAATAACAAAGTAAAGGATGCGTTTTAAACTTTTTTTGTAACACATAGGCTGTAACAGTGCAGGCTACGATTTTATTTTTTTTTGTTCTGGTGCATGATCTGTGCATGTACTATTAATGATCAGAGAAAGGACAGAAACAGGAAAGGCAAAAATATCTGAAGGTAACTGAGAAAAGTCTTATACTGTACCTTGGAGAGTGGCATATGAAAAATACAAGCTCTCCACTGACTTCTAGGCTATATTGGCATTAGGATAGTAGGGAAGAATAAGTACAATAGCTTTGGCAAGCTAAACAGTTGTCACTGAGGGTGGTTTGGGGAATTTATGCTGGATTTTTTTGAGTTTCTGCTCTTTTCTTCCGAAAGGGAGAAAAGTTGCATTTGTGCTTTTGCTCGAACACTTCTATCACTCTAGATGTGAAAGGAAAGTACAATTTGACAAGAACTTGAAGTGAAGGTGCTCACTATATGTGAAACCTTCAAAGAAAGTTTCAAAGAATCCACAGAATTTTCAGTTATATTCACAATTTAATTAGGGGAATTTCCAGAGAATTATAGGATAGCTTGAATTGGAAGGGACCCATAAGCATCATCAAGTCCAACTCCCTGCTCCTTGCAGAGCTACTTAGCCCTAAGTAATATTACTGAGTGTTGTCCAGGTGCTCCTTGAACTCTGACAGACTGGGTCCTGTGGCCACTTCCCTGGGGAACCTGTCCCAGTGACCGGCCATCCTCAGTGAAGAACCGTTCCCTAATGTCCAGTCTGAACATCCTCTGATGCAGGTTCATACCATTTCATGAATGTTCAATTAGATTCTTAAGTCTAATATTTCATTCTAGAAAATGCTTTGGTAGGGGAGTATTTTGTTTATTTTTGTTTGTCTGTTTGTTTGCTTGTTACTTTTTTCCTCTCTCTTTCCACTCAAAGCAGGCAGATTTAAAAGAATGTCTAAAAGCATTTTTTCCGGTATTAGAAAGTAATGTTAGAAGAGATCAGCCAGGTACTCAGAAGAAATTATGAAGCATGAAACTTGGGTTTTGTGTAAAACCACCAGGGCTGTTTTTTGGGGTGTTTGTTGGTTGTGTGGGCTTTTTTTTTTTTTTTCTTTTTGTCAGAGCTTCTCTATTATTTGCACTAGAAACTGGAAGAATGTGTATTGAATGTCAGGTGGGATAAGAAAAAAAAGCAGTGACATCACAGGTTAAAGAGGTTGCGTGTGACTTCAGATAAGATGTTTCTTGTTGGCTCTGCCACTGCATTTCTCCTTATTGCTGGTTCAGTTGTTTCAGGCAGAGCTTTTGCAAATGTCTGCTTATTTGTTTCTGATCCTAAGAATTCTGTAAATGCTGAGTGTTTAGAATTGCAGATGAAGTAATGGGAAGCTGCAGATAATCTCTTGGGGAGTTAAAAAAAATATCAAATCAGTCAGTCAGTGGGGCATCTCACACTTTGTATAGTGTGAACAGCCCAGAAGTAAGAATGCTGTTAAGGCAGGTCAGTGAAACCCAAACATCATTAGTTTGGAATCTGGGAAGGGTATTTTTCTGCTTAAAGAGTGGAGAATAAATCTGTAACTTTTCAGAATAAAATTTGAAACATAACAGCAATTTGTACTTTGAGTAAATTACACATGTCACAAAAGTTTTAGGGGTCTGTTCCTTAACGTAGGAGCTGTTTTTATTTTGCTTTTCAGTGAGAGAAATAGAAAGATCAAAACTATAAAAGTTATGGCCTTTAATATATTTAAGGCACGTATTGTGGTAGAGATAATGTGATGGTTTTACAGAGCTATTTCTGTAGGCCATTAGGCTGTAGTATTGCCCTTTCATAAGTCCTGTTACTACAATACATTGTTAAGTTCATGCACACCATGTTTAGTCAATAAACAAACATCCAGAGCATGCGGAAAGTTCATTTTCTAGAGGTTTTGAAAAAATCTAATTAGATGAGATAATGCAGTGTTACGGTAATGCAAATGCTAAAGTATAAAATACATTCAGCTGTAATCTGAGCACTGGCCAGACTGCTTTCTGTTAAATGTTTTCTGTTGGAAATTACTTACATTAAAAATGCAGCAGTGCTTTCTAATGAAGGAAAGCCCTTTGAATGTTGCCGTTTTGTTACGATTTTACTTAACAAAATCTTGAAAAAATCTAATTTTGTGATTTAGAATGTTCAAGACTCTTTGTTTTCATGTAATATTACCAGTGCAAGGGTCTGAGAAGTAGAAGAGAGAGGTACTTGTTCCAGATTTTGCTTGGCTTCTTTGAATAGGCTCTTCTGGTATTTCAGGATATTTGGAACTTGATAGGATATGATCTTTAATTTCTTTATGGTTGGTCTTGCAGGACACTGAGGAAAATTTGAGAAATTAACTTTAGAAAATGAAGACAGTGCAAGATGTGTTCAGGGCATGGATCTTTGAAGCTTAGTGAGCTTTATACATATTCATGTGAAAGTACAACTTTTATACTTAGGTAATGTGCAAATCTCCTACTGTTTGCAAAAAGGCAGGAAGAAGGGAGAGTTGTCTTTGTGATAGCTCAGTATACAACTGGATTTTAGTCCTCAAAGCTCTCTACGATGGTAAATGCTTGTTATGTAGCAGCTCAGGATTTTCCAGAATTACTGGAGTGAAAAGTCGCTAGCTTTCCAACAGCATGACAAAAGTTCTGTGTTCATGGGAATGTCATATTTCCCAGAGGAATATTTGAAAGCTGGATTATCAATAATCTAATAGGACTTTTTGTTTTGTGTGCTAGTGTTTTCCTAGGCCCTAAGAAAATGAGAAAGTAATATTTATGTAGGAAGGAACCTTTTTCAGTGATGTTAAAAATGAAAGTGACTGCCCTTTATCCAAGCCTGAATCACTGTCCACTTCATAATTTTGATGCCTCTCTGGGTGACAGGTAAATGCAAGCTTCCAAAAAGTGAACAGCATTTCCACTTTCTTCTAAAATACAATATAGGATTGCTGGCAGTGATGATGATATATTAAATAGCCTTGGAGCAAGAGATGAAATTGAGCCACCTTACTAGCTGTAGAGACTTGCATCTTGTGTGTGTACTCCAGTGCATCTGGGCTTCTTTCTGCTTAAAAAAGAGCATTCAGCAGAAGAGGTGCAATATGTTATCCATCATTCTAGGATGCTTTCAGAAGGGAAACCTGTCTTTCAGTCTTAGTGTAAGTAATTGGTATATGTGTCTTTTAGTTGCTCAAGAACAGAAAGAGTAGGCAGAGTACACACTGAATGTTCTCGTTAAACTAAGTTCCAGAAGAGGAAGACAACATTCTTCAGTTCAAGTAGTTCTTAATTTTGGGCAAGACACTTCATTTCTTAGTCCTCGCAGTATTAGAGGTACTTGTGAACATATGTGGAGAGGAAGTGATAGATATCTGCAGTACCTTCCACTGTTGTAAGGAAGTTTTCATGTAAATATTTTGTTCCTCAGTACCTGTATTTACAAATTACAAGTAAACCTTAGGAAGTCTTACTTTATAAATATCGCATCTTCCACCCATGAGAATGTTCAGATGTGAGTTTTTCTGATTCTGAAAGGTCACAGGACTTTGAATAGTAAGAGAAACCCATGAGGTTATTTGTATAAGTTGTGTTATCTGGAAAATAATTTGCCTGCTCTTTCCATTTATTGCTGCTGTGTGGGAGTTCTTCCTCTGTTGTTTAGCCGTTACACTGAGGCAGTGTCTCTTCTCACTCAAGCTTGAAAGGTCTATTCTACTGTCACCTCAATCCATATTTGATGACCTTATAGAGTTAATATTCTAAGTAAAGACCTTGCTTTTTCTTCAGCTACTATCTGTAGATGAACTTTTAAAGATTAGACGTGTAAAGGTAAATAATGACTAACAACCAAGTATGTTGATAATTGAGTATAACCTTGCTGATGCTTGCTTGGACACTGTGCGTATTTTGTGTGCAAGTATTGCAGACATAGCTATATGGAAAGCCTGCATCAAGAGTAAGACTGGAGAGTGTTGAATAATTTAAGGTAAAAATAATTCAGGTCAATTGTAATTACTTAAATGACAACATCAAAAAAGGCACTTAAACCCCCAAGAAATTCAGAAGCAATGCATAAGCGAAATGCCAGTGTATTAAACCTCATCTTTAATTCTGACTTTTAAAGTATTGTTCATTTATTATAAATAAATTATGAGCTAATTGTTAACTGCCAGATGAGCTATTGTAATTGAGAGAATTTCCAAGAGCTGAATTTAAAAGCTGTTCTGTTGTAAAAGAAAGAAAAGGAAAAGATACTGAGGTCTAGGACTTCCATAGATAGGAAATGGAATCAACTTGTTTAAGTGACATTTTGAACCAAATTCCACTCTGTTTTCTTAGCAAAACTCCCCTCATTAACTTGATAATTTCTCATTTTGTGAAACAGGCATTCATTAATTAAAAGAACCCCATAAATTGGTAATTATTCTGTATATAGGGATTGTTCTGTATGCATACATCTGCAGATGGGGAGAACATCAGGGTGTAGCAGAAGAACTAAAGGGGGGCCTTCAGGTTTGCCCACTTCTTCCTGCGAACACAGGGTGCTGGTCATGACTGCACCACAGAAGTCCTACAAGCCTTTCTGTGGTAAGTTTGCTGTAGTAAATGGATTATTTGTCAGTTACTCTCATATTTATGTTTATGGTCACAGAAGGAACAATTTGTGCGTGCATCTTGGTATATTTTTTTTCTATTTTTTCAATTAAATTTACTTCATCATTATATTTTAATTTTCTCTGTTTTTTTTTTTGTTTTAAGGGGTTGGATAATGGTATGAGCTATAAATCAATTTAGAGTTCCTTTTTCTTTTCCTGTCTTGCAGATACTTATCATCTGGTAGGAAGTGCATTGCATAAGAGAAAGGTCAGAGAAAGAAATTGATGATCCCAGCTTGAAAGACTAAATTGAGGCAGGTAATGATGCTTGTAATTCTTCCCATTTGTTATGAGGGCTAGATACTAGCTGTGTCTTAGAATGCTGTATGATCCATATTAATGAAGCAAAGTACAGAATCATAGTTCTTTTACCTAACTGATTTGTAAAAATAAATAAATAAAGCATCATTGTACCATTCTTTTTCTTAGATCACCCCTGTGATGAGATCATCCCGTGTACCACCGTTTGCCTCCTAGATGATAGGAAAATCAGAAGAAGCCTGTGAAAAAAAAGGATTATATTTCATTATTTTTTTTCTTTAGATATATTTCCTTATCTTGTAAACTGTTTTAAAGAAAATTCTATCATCCAAAATTGAAATCAGATGAATAGTTTACAATAAAAGTATATAAAACGTAGTTATGTTAGTATGTTTTTATTACAAATGCAAAGAAAATTTGGGGTAAAGTTTGTCATAAAATGATACACTTTTGAAATATATGTTGCAGACAACTTAAACAATGAGACTAATGCACGTAAGTGATCTATCTTATAAGGGCGCTTTATTGTTGGTATGTTTGCTACTAAATGAAATGCATCCATTTCATAATCTCTAAATATAGTAAAGGTAATGTGAGATACCTCAGTATCTTTTTCTCTTCTGTTATGCTTAGCACACTTTCATATGATTTCATCTACAATGACTTTGATGCAGAGTGTTGTCATTGATTAATATTAACTTATGCTGATGCAAATAAAAAGAGTCAAACCATTGGTTCATAGAGACTAGAGACCTACTGACCACTTAGTTCAGCCTTGAAATTCAGTCTTCTGAATAATGACAGACAGCAATATCCAAATTGAGAATGAATAATGTATGTAAAGGGAGCTTTAAGCATGCTGAGATACTGACTATGGACCTGTTACTGAAGAGATTTCTGTTAGGTAGGAGCTGATGCCAGGAATTTTTGACATTTGTGGGATAAGTCCATCAACTGGCAGGATATGTGAAGAAGTGATTTTGGAAATGGAGGTTATGTGGTAAGACATAGGGGCCTAGAAAATCTGCTAGACTCTACTGGGAGAGTCCATAGAGAGCTGTAAATAACTAGATAGTATTTAACCAAGAAGCAGTGGAGTAAGTAAACTATGAAATAAATTGTTTCTGTAATATGTCAACAGAGTTATGTAGTTGGCAGTTTTCCACCAGGTAACTTTTTATACTGTCTAGGTTTCCGTTCTTACTCTAGAGAGTTTCTCTCTTCTTTGTACAGTTAGCCTACATCTTACAGTTTCTAACCCTAAAACTGTTTATAACTGTTTCAAATTATCTTGTGCCAAAATGTCTCTATGTATGAGTTTTGCTGTCTGATGTCAGCAGAGCTTGGGTAGTAGTTTTTAACAGGCTACTGTTGTTTAAAATACTGAAAATCTATCACTTCATAGAGTTCCTAGTTAACTTGGTAGGGTTTTTTTTTTTTTTTTTGTTTGCTTTGTTTTGTTACTTAGTGACAGTATTGTATGTTCTTAGATTCATTGAGAACTTCTAAATGCACAGTAGTAGCACATAAAAGATTTGGAACATACATGAATGGCATTTATACCTAGGCTGAAGATTTGACATGTTCAATCCGTAATACATACTTAAACCAGTGACAGAAGTGTGAGATCCAGGCTCCCTAGTGATTTACAGAAGGCCTAGACCAAGTTCCCCACAGGGAGGTTTGTGAAGGCATAGAAAGTAAACTACCACTTTTGAAAGGATTGTTAGGACTGACATTGTCCAAGCCCATGAAAAGTAATAGATAGGAACTAATGTGAAATGCAACATCTTAGGCAGTTACCAAGGTAAGAAGAGTTGTAAGAAATGAACCTGAGAAAACTGACTAAAGCAGGTTGCTACGTTTGCTCTGTAGTATGAAGATAGTATGAAAAATAAAAGAATAGTCAGTATGAGTTATGGAATCCCTTAAGAGAAGTGTCAACATTAGGAGGTGCTTAACTCCTGACAAAAGTGTCAGAAGACAAGGATGGGTAAAGCATATTCAAGCAAGCAGCCTCAGACCATAGGAGCTTTCTGTTAATATGATAATCAATGAGTTAATAATGTTAATGTTTATGTACTAATAACTGGGCTTAAGACTATATGATGAAATAAAATTATTTCATCCCCTCAAATACAGTTTTCTTTACAGTGGAGACAAAAAACATAAAGCAAATGTTGACTAAAAATTTACTCCATTTATGATACAGCTTTCACTTGTTTATCATCTTTTTCTCAGCTATTTCTAAGAACTTTAGAAATAAGTGATTAATATGTCAGTGAGATGTATTATATTTTGAAAGCAGATTGTAAATAAAAGGCAGAAAAAGGGTGGTTCTCCTTCATTATTGTGCATGTCATAGTCTGTGACAGCACACAAACTAAGGTTTCAGAACTTCCTGTTCTGAGTTTTAGGTCATAGACTACTATGAAAAGAATTAATTTGGTATATGCTTATCTACAAATTTTTATTACGCTGATTTTTATCAGCAGTATAGACTCTGAAGTGTTAATGCATGTATTATGTGACAAATAGAGATTAGGATTTTTTCAGATTTGTATTTCTTGGCATGGCTAGGGATTCTCAGCAACAGATTGTGTTTTCCAAAGATAACTGCTCTTTTAAAGTCTAACTATACAAATGCAAGTCTCCATAGTAACATTGTAGATTCTTCTGCCAACCTGTGCTCTTCCAGATTTGCTTGTCAAACTGAAGTTTGACCATTGTAAAAACTGTTGTTGTAGAAACAGTCTTTGTCAAGTAGTTAGAATGTAGAAATAAGATAAACAATTTTATTGGCAATTTTGCTTATAGTAGCATCTATTGTATGTCCTTTGCATTTACATTGCAGGTATTTTATGTGCTTGGCTCATTTGTGGGGGGTATAAAGTGTTCTGAAGGGAAATTTTGCTATGTTGTGCTACATAACATATGGTTAAGGCAAACATGCTGTAGAAACAGCTTATTGACTGAGACAACTTTAACAGGATTCGTTTAGTATGTTGAGGATTCTATTTCTATTCTACAAACCTCTGTTCACTAATGAGATAACTAGCATTTACCTGTCATGGGAATTACTGGCAAAATGGCCTGTGCTAATCAAATCAAAAAGGCATAATATAATTGCTTCAGCTCAGAAATACTTTATAAATAATGAGTTAGAAATGTTAATTTGACTGGTATAAATAAATAACTTGAATCAGCTATCATGCAAAGGTATATATAGCTATTATGTATCTTTTGCTAAGTAAGATTCAATACTGGTCAGTACTCCTAAAACAACTTGCTTACTTTCTCAGCTGAGAATAAATCTCAGCTTCATGATAAGGGAAAACCATCTAAGGGATCCTTTTCAATGTCATAGGGACCTTTAGAGGAGGTTCTTGCTGCTCTTTGTAGCTGTGGGTGAGAGCAAGAATGGAACAAAACAGGTAGGTGTTGTGGAGTGATTAGTGTGTCACAGCTTAGCCTCCCATGGTGCTAGATTCCCCTGATTCCGCTGGGAACTAGAGCAGTGTATTCAGTATGCTTCTCAGAAGCTATTAAGCTGAGGAGAAGCGTTGTGTGTGCTTCCCTCATCTCAGAAAGAAGCAAACTGTGGATTCTTAAAATTGTGGGTCCTGGCACATAGGCTGGCACATAAGGTATCCCTAATGGATTACCTGTAAGTTGCCTTACTGTGCCTGATAAAGAAACAGTTCTTCACTGGGACTTGTGGGGCTGTGAAATCATTACAGTGGGCAGATGATATAGTTCCATATGAAACACTGAATGTGTGTAATGACCTACCTTCATGCCTTAAAAAGATAAGTAGATCTAATGCGTGATCAGAATGCTTTTGGCATGGCTTAGTGACCGGATGTACCTGCTCATATATGGGATATGGATGTATTTTTGTCAGGTAATAGATGTTCGTATGGTCATATGATTAGTGTTAGGCTGCAGCTGTTTTTGGAAAATGGTAGCAATGTGCAGGCTGCCATAATTGTCCAGCAGGCAGAAAGGATGAGACTGTGGGCTAAATTATTCTGTTTTCCTACACACAGTGAGAAGTTTACCACTTCTGGTGATTAAAAATGCTCATTTTGTGGACTAAGAACTGGTCTTCTGATACTGATGTCTATACTTAATGGTTGTGTGAAGCTTATTCAGGTCTATAAATGTCCACGTAGATGTCTGTTCATTCATGCTGCTGACCAGTATGTCCATATCCTGCAAGGAGGAAAGTAAATGCTATTGGTGCATAGTAAACTGTGGGAAAAATAATTTCAGATTACTAAATCATGTTGTAGCTGGATCTAGTCAATGTTACATAGTGGTTTGATATTCAGAAAACATTTTTGTCTTGATTTAGAGATAGATATTATTGATCTGGTCTGGAAGTCCAAAGTCAAAAGTCTTGAGACTTTTAATGGCTATAACCCATCTGGTTTTTATATATTCTTCAGTTCATCTGTGGGACAGATCTCATGATTATGCACATGCAGTCAGCTGATGAGCAGAAACAAATCTATAGAGAACAGACCACCTAATAAGATACAGGTAGTAGATCTCCTAGCTTTCTGAACATTTGTTCTGCTATCTTAATTTCTTCATGTTTTTCAATTGCTTTTATAGATTGTAGGTTTTATTTTTATTTTTTCTTCTTTTAAAATTAGTTTATGAAGCTTTTAGCATAAAGCATTGCTGGAACATACCTTGGAAGGAGCTTATACCTGACCTTTGGATGACCTGATAGAAGGTGACTGTTACCTTGCTTGCAGTTATATCTTTATTGCTTGCTCTTTGTGATATGAAATATTTCTTGCATGGCGTTGTTTTCTGTACAGGGCCAGAAAATAACAGCAGTTAGTGTGGGGGTCTGAATTAGGATCGCTGCAGAAACTATTTTCAGGACCTTACTGGTGTGTATGTGTAATTGTTTTCCACTAGTTTGCATTTACTTTATAAGAAGGGTCAGCAGCTAAGTTTATCATACTCTTCTGATTTTCGCAGACACCTTTTTGAAAAAGTTACTCAAAAAAGCATTATGCCACTGTGTTCTAATAATGTTTTCCCTTAAAATTGTGTGTACTTAGATGGTGATGCTGTTCTTCCAGTAGTTTTGACATCTATATCACATCTTCACAGAAGAATCATTTATGTTTTACTGTAAGACTACTGTACTTGAAAAGTCTACTTTCAGACCAATCAGTTTATTTCTGGTCTGAATCTGTTAAAACTAATTGAGTTATAGTAAACTACATGGTTGCAATTCTTTACTTTGTAGCAAAATACTTTGCATATTAGTTGGACATTTAGGCGTAAAACATTGCAATACCAACAGTAATAAAACACAGTAGCTTTTGCAAATTGTGCTCCCAAAGGATTTTTAA